GGCCGCGACGTGGCAGCCGCTAATAAAAGTGACCGTGATGTGATGGCTGCTAGTGAAAGTGGCCGTGAAGTGACCGCGATGTGACGGCCGTTAATAAAAGCGGCCGCGATGTGGTGGCCGCTAATGAAAGTGGCCACGAAGTGGCTGCGAAGTGACCGCAATGTGACGGCTGTTAATAAAAGTGGCCACGAAGTGACCATGACGTGATGGCCGCTAATAAAAGTGGCCGCGAAGTGGCGGCCGCTAATGAAAGTGGCCGCGATGTGGCAGCTACTAATGAAAGTGGCCGTGATGTGGCTGCTCATGGGGGTGAATTAGCGTGGTTCAGTTGTTTGGTGCTGCCTGAATTCGGGCGGAGTGTTTTCATGTCAAAACCGAACTAAAGAAAAAGCTGGACAGGTCCACACCAACCAAGGCAGGTCTGAAGGCAGGTCTGAAAGCACGTCCCAGCTGAAATGGAGGTTCTGATTGGCTCTACTACTCAGTTTTACTCTGTTAGTGCTGGTTAGCTCTTCATGCAGTTTAGAGAAGCGGGAGGTTTTACGTGTGTCCTGAACCCAAAAGGCAGTGGGGTGTTGCCACAGGACTCTGAAAAGTGAAATGCCCGCTCACAACCGTGGTTCCGGCGGCCCTGAGGTAACTATACCTAATAAAGTGCCCAGTGAATGTAGATTTATGAGTGTTCCAGTGCCGTGTTTGGGTAGAGAACTGAGCTGAAGTGCCCTGTGAAATCTGTTATTCAATGTGATGATTTGGGCTGTTTGTACAGCAGGTGACACTTTTAAGCCATTCATTTCTCAGAATTGCAACAACAACAACAACAACAACAACAACAACAACAACAACAATGATCTGGGCAGTGTGGCATGTGGAGCCCTCAGACAGCCCACCTCTGCTTCATTGTGTCCCTTGCTGTGAGTGATTTCCTGGTGGGGTCTGTAGCCATTCTCATAGCTGTACTGGTGGACATTCATCTGAAGATCCTCTATTATGGCTGCCTTTTCATGTGCTGTGTCACCATGATGCTGGATGTGGCCTCTGTCATCTTACTCCTGGCCATTGCAGTGGACCATTTTCTGTATGTACGCATCCCTCTGATGTGAGCTGTCCTTTATCCTTATATCTGAAGGAGCTATAACCATCCTGCAGATAAATAACTTCAGATTTTGATTTAGTACTGTGCTACACCTTGACATCTATTTGTAGAACAATGTGGTGTTTCTTTTATCAGTGTTACTTCATATGTTGACTGTTCCACTTACACTTTAAGCTATTTAAGTATCAGAGCAAAGAAACTGCCACTATTTATTTCTTTCACAGGTTTAAGTCTACAGTCTCTAAAAAAAACGCTTATGGATCGTGGTTGCTCTCTTATCCCCATGTTTAAATGGCACAACTCTTTGGGTGCAAGAAACAGTATTGAATGCAGCTTCTTAACTGTTATTTCCACTTCCCATGTAATAAACTTTGTTTGTATTTTTTCTGTATTTTTTTCAACTTATACCTTCCTCCATTGGCTGTCATAAAAGGATTGTATTGTTACATCTTCCTGACCACTCGAAGGCAGTCAAGAGCAAATACAGGTTTGGCTGCCGAGTCCAGGACATACTACCAAAAAGAACACAGGCTGGCTGCTTCACTGATTCTGGTCTTGGGTCTTTGTTGTCTGTTTGCTCCCAGTATTCCTCACAGTCACTGTAAAATTCTATGTTAATAATATTGAGGTGCCTTCGGTTGCCATTGACATAGGTGTCCTCCTGTCTCATTATTTGTACCACTGGGGGTTTCAAACAGGTAAGAGGGCCATGCCAATACATTGTACACAATGTAGGATTCTACTCTGTCTAGTCCCCTAAGCCAGTGGGTGGCACCACCCCATTTAATTTTGATTACTGAACAGGAATTTTTACTGTAGTTAGCTTTTGTTTCATTTTGTTTTTGGACCCAAGTACTTTTTCACTCAGAGTAGGAAGCACTGATGTTTTCATTATTTATTTTTGCTGGTACTGTCCACAGTTTGATTCTTCCATTGTGGTACTAGACATAGCATAGTTTTTTTTTTTTGTGAATTATGACTGTTTTTAGAATACAACATCAGCTTAAGATGTCTTGCTTTATCATGTCTGTGCCTTGACAGCACAATCTGAAGGTTTTGTTAGGCTTTTATCCAGCCAATGTGACAGTCAGATTTGAGCGAGCTAATACTGCTTCAGATTTAAGATGGTCTAATGCTGCTTTCAAGTGCAAGTGTGGTGGTAGTTTTCTCTGAGGAGGAACTTGTTCACCCAGCATGCACATTCATGCGGTTTGTCAGAGATAAACAGAACACTGAGGTTTTGTAATGAGTATTGCAGTTTATTAGCTTTCTGGCTTCTATTGATTTTGGCCTATTTTACTGGTGTTTTCAACATTTAAAACATGTAATTAAAAAAGATCAAAATAAAAAACTATGAACAGAAAAATTAAAGGAACAGAAAATAAATGGTAAAGTGCTAAAAACATGCAAAGTTCAGTAGCTTAAGGAGTCTGAGAGGTGCAGGTGAGCAGAGATGCTTTTAAACATGTTTTAACTCTGTGCACATTTTATAGCTTCTGGGAGTTTAATCCAACTGACTGCAGCCTATAGTGGCTGATGGCTGCCTCACCTTGTTTTAATTCTGGTTTTAGGCACTGAACAGACTCTAGTGGTTAGAGATGTTGGGGGGTATCCTGGACTTCTCATGAAAGTTAAAAGGGACCCTCTATAACTCACAACTTATGTCCTTTAAAATTATTTGATAAAATAAATGGCCTCACACAAAGTGACTACCTTCATCATGTTCAACATTAGATTCCTCCCACCGATAAACTGTAAACTCGAATTCCTAACATAACTGTTCAATCCAGTGCACGGAGCTGAGTCAGTCTGGTTTAAAACCGGGGAAGATTAAAACGCAAACTGCTGAGAAACTTTAGGTTCTTTTGACGTTAGCGGTAGCCATCAAGATGCAGAGAAAAATATTATCAGGAAAAAACCTTCTTGACTAATAATGGAAGATAAGGTAACTAGTTTTTCAAATTTTATTTTAGACCATATCTGTTTGGTCTGCTCATCATGAAATTATTACTAGGTAAAAGGTAGCTGGAGCTTCAAATTATGCAAAAAAAAATAAATAAATAAAATTACCTGTTTGTCCAGCAAACTGAATTATAATTTGATTTTGCTTCTCATGGGATCCACTAAACCTGCTTGATGAAGATTTTAACTAAATATTTCAAATCAATTAACTGAGAATTAGATCTACTTAGTGTTCTCATCAGCGTGTAAGTGGACAAATCTTTTATACTGAAACAGACATGAAGATAAACACTTCTGAGATCTGAGTATTGGAGTGATGTGTTTGTACCTCTTTGTCTTGGTTAATATTCTGGCAGCAGCATTCTGAGTGAGCTGCAGCTGTCCGATAGATTTTTTGTGGGGGCCATTTAATCACAAAGAGAATTAAAACACCTCTTTGAAACATGGTGCCATGGCCATGTACAGTTTTTAGTGGAACAGTCCTTACTGGTGATGTGGGTACTGACAGCAGCAGCAGAATGTATTATGAAAATACGAATATTGCTACATGCAAGTTAACACTGCTGCATGCTTAACTGACATCACACTAAAATACATCACACAAACCAAGAGTTTTGTCAAATGTGATAATTAAGTTGGTACTTAAGTCACATACAAGGGGCACCTGAATGGTTTGTCTTGGGAGGCCAAAAGGCGACGTTTATGGTGCTACACAATGTAGAGCTATAAAACAAGAACTAGAGACATGGGAAGCCAGTGAAGTTCTTTCAAAACCTAGGATGACAAACTCTGTGTTTGTGTTTATCAGGATCTGTGCTACTACGTTTTGTACAAGTTGTAAGAGATGTACTGTTTTCTCAGTAAAGAGCATAACAATAATGAATTTGACCTTTAACAACTGCATGTACAGGTTTTTATGTCAAGTCTCATTGCATTTTAATAACTTACATCTAAGTTAATGTAAATATAAAATGAAACTGCACACACGCATTCTGATTCATCTTAGTAAAAAAGGACCAGTACAAGGTAGAAACTCAAGAAAGCATCAAGACCTACAGATGTGCAGGATGTTTTATTGAACAAATGTTTGTGACAAAAGAAAGTGTGAAGCAGGTCTTCAGTGACTGCCCTGGCGTCCACCAATCCACCAAACAGCTATGAACCATTGATTACAGGTACAATAATTTTAATTAACGATACAACTTGATACAATTCATTCATATTTAACTTAATGTTTAAAATTAATATTAAAAATAGTATACTTTGCAATGTTTGTGTTTGGAAAACATTTTTAAATTTACAGTACAACCAATACATACTGACCGAACTACTATCCAACTTAGTTGAGATCATCACTTTGTTTTTTTCCTAACAGATTGATTTAATGTGAAATGGTTCACTATAAAGAAACTAACCACCATGGATTTCTTTACAGTGGTGGGGATGAGAACCAGGGGTCACATTGTGTATGGAACATTGATAAAGGTAAAATAGTGAAGGAAAACCTGAAAATATGAAAACTACCATAGAACAATGTCTCAGACATCAGGCAACATTTTAAAAAACAATTTATGTAACAACTTTCTGTGAGGGAGCTTTTAGAGACATTAAAATAGTCTTCTGGTTCCTATCACCACCACTGTGAACAATTCTGACTCAGTATTCTCAGTTTCTCTAGAATTCTTTAGATTCAAACCTTTCCAAATAATTTACATCCTAGCTATGCAGAAGTTTTGAAAAACTCAGTGGAAATACTGAGGTTTATTGTTATGCCAGGACTGAATTCTGGCACGTGATTTAGACATATGGTCTTTGTGCATCATATATATATATATCTATCTATCTATCTATCTATCTATCTATCTATCTATCTATCTATCTATCTATCTATCACTTGCAGAAGGTTTTTTTTTTATAACTCTGACACCTGTGTAGCACTTCTGTTTTCTGTACTGCTGTTTTTTGCCCTGCTGTTTTTCTACTGTCTCCCTACTGCTGTTGTCCGTCATGGTAAACTCTCATGTACAGCTTCTTAAACTCCTCTTTTATCTTGGGGATCCTAAACGCATACACTATGGGGTTAACTGCTGAATTAGTATGAGACAGGAGGACACCTATGTGAATGACGACTGAGGACACCTTGATATTAGGACCATATAATTTTATAGTGTGCATGAGGAATAGAGGGAGCCAACAGACAACAAATAGACCCATGATCAGAACCAGTGAAGCAGCCAGCCTTTGTTCTTTTTGGTAATATGTGTGGGACTCAGTAGCCACACCGATATGTGCTCTTAACTGCCTTCTAGTGGTCAGGAAGATGTAACAGTACAAGCATGTCATGATAGCCAATGGAGGAAGGAAGAAGCCGAAGAATATGAAGTTTACAACATATGAACGGCTGTTAACAGTGAAGAATCTGCACTCAAAACTGGTGGAGTTTGCTTGTGTTGTGCCATTCTGAGTGTTATAGTTGTGCCATCCGAACATAGGGATAAAACTCAACAGTGCAGCAGTGAACCAGCAGAGTGCCACCACCATCCAAGTGCATTTTTGAGTAACAGTAGACTTATACCTGGAAAACAAGCAGAAAACAAATTTATTTGTTTAGATTTTAATACATTTAAAGGATTGAAAGGAGCAGCTAATGTATTGTGTTTGTTTTACTTCATAATTCAAAAGATACATCCAGGACAAGCACAAGTTATTCATTTTTTTAGTGTCAAAAGCAAAAAGCAAATATTTAACAGAAAATTGCATAGAAGTCTCAACAACTAATTAATATTTTTTTTCAGTACTTGGCGTGTTCTGTGATACTGATACTTGCTTTGTTTTAAAAGAAATCTGCAGGAATATTTTTCAACACCTCCAAAGTTCACTCTTAAAGGTTGGTTGCATTTTCTGCTTCTCACAATCCAAGAAATCCCAATTACAAATTTAGACTCATCAGTCTGTGAAACCTTACTCCACATCTCAGATGTCCAGTTTTGTGTTTTAGTGCAAATTGTCTTCATTTTGTCTGTTTCCTTTTCTCAGGAAGGGCTTCTCTACAACTACACACCCACTTAGACCCAAAGCATTGAGTCGTCTTCTCACAGTTGAAGGATTTTTTTTTCCCCCCAAATATGTAGCAAGTGGAGCCGATTAAAGCTGAAAGATGAAAGCTTTAAGTACTGTTTATCTAAAGGGGCAGTTTCAGTCATCTATCAGGTCTTTGTAAGGAGTCCCATTTTTCTCTGTACCTTTTAAATATTTTTTGAACTCCTTTTAAAAATGCATGTTTTTTTGCACTCATTTTCCTTTGACTTATGCAAGTGTAGTGGATTACCTTTTATCTAACCTCTTTAAAAACATCCCCTTTAGGCATTTTAGATACACATGAGAAAAATGTGAGGGAACGAATGTGTGTTTAGGCAGTTGTTTGTGTGAATGTGGGACCACACATCATTGACAGTCTCTCCTGGTCCACAAACAGCTCTTCCTTAGTGAAGAACGCACAACAGCACCTCTACTTCATAAGGAGACTGAAGAGGGCCGGCCTGCGCACACCCATCCTCAAATTTAACTTTGCCACTCCTTTACCTTCCGCACCCAGTCAGTCACTTTACTTTAATGTGAAACTTGCAGTCACTTTAATCTGTACATTGTCTGCAGTTTTATAAATCCTTGTGGTTGTGCCACTAAAGCCTATTATTAATTATCAGTGCACTGACTATAAATCACACAATTATTACTGCTGCTGCAGGCGAACAGATTTTCCTTCACCCCTTTGTTCAAGGGCTAATCTGTACTGTCCTGTGCTTAAATGGTCATATAGGTGTGTTATTGTATATTGTACAGAAGAGTTTCATATATGTTTGCGTAGTTTAACTGTATTCATTGTCTGTCTGCACCTGTTCTATGTTAAATGGAGTCCCAAAATATCCATGATGAGAGGAAATGACAAAGCTGACGCTCACTTTGAAGAACATATCAGTAACTTCTCTGTAAAGCTTCTGTCGAGAGGACACAGCTGCAACTGGTTGATTTTAAGATTAGAAAATAGAACAGTTAAAGAGGCAGTAGAGTGAACCAAAGGTATATAGTGGAGTATGTATGTATGTATGTATGTATGTATGTATGTATGTATGTATGTATGCACACACACATATATACATACATACACACACATACATACACACACACACATATATATACATATATATATATATATATATATATATATATATATATATATACACACATACATATACACACACACACACATACATATATATATATAAACTTTGTTATATTAGAATACACAAAAAATCTTATGAGCTATTTTATTAAATAATAAATAATACCAGCTTTCTTCAAATAGAGGTTCTGAGCTGATGGCAGTATCAGTACTGGTGCACCACCTTTCTTTAGGTTTCTGAAAGTATTGTATGTTTCCTGCTTATTTTTATGAAATGAAAAAATATATAAATTGTGTTTAAAGGCCACCAAATGACCAGGCCACGAACAAACACACAAAAGCAATACTACTTGTATTAATAACACTTTTTTCTAGTACTACTGTTTTTCTTAGCAAACAAAATACTTACTGCACACATAGCCTTTTTTTTTTTGAGACGTACCGATATGACTTTTTCCCGTTCAGATACAGATAATTGATCCGTAACTTTAGTAGTTCTATCCAACTCTAACTATCTAACCTCAGTCGCTTATATGTCCTGATATTTATACAATTCTAGTTTAAACATTTATGTAGGTAAAATCTGTGTTTTGTTTCAGCAATGAAACAAAACAACAAAATTGTATGTGCATGTTCAAAGGAAAAATACATTTACTATATTATTGAAATTGAATATTAAAAACATATATAACATTACATTTATAACATTATTTTGTTACCTAAACGTTTCAAATATGCAATATTCAAAGGAAAAATTAATTTGTTCTTTGATTGGTTGTGTTTTTTTATTGATCTTCAAGGTACAGCACAGTGCTAAAACAAAGTCTGACGTTATTTATCTGCAGTGTAGTTATGGGTCTTTTAGATAGAAAGACAACTCACGTCAGAGGGATGCGCACACGGAGGAAACGGTCCACTGCAATGGCCAGTAGTGAAGAACCAGAAGCCAACTGTAGCATCATGACAACACAGCACATGAAAAGGCAGCCATAAAAGGGGATCTTCATACGGATGTCCACCAGCACACCCATGGGGATGGCCACAGACCCCACCAGGAAATCAGCCACAGCCAGGGACACAACGAAGCAGAAGGTGGGCTGCCTGAGGGCCCCACATCTCCACACTGCCCAGATCACCAGCACATTGCCCAGGCAACATGCTACAGCAATGATCACCTCAAAAGGCCAGAAGACCCACACAGCACTGCTACCCATTGGAAGAGATGGTGATGATGGAGTGTAAGAAACTGGCTGTGACTAGGCCTCCCTGTGAGCTCTGATGAAACGCACAGAGTTGATTTCTGAGATACGGTCATGCTTGCAACAACAGAAAAACAAAAATAGACGCACAAATAGTCTACAGGAAGTGGGCCAAGTGTGTGAAAAGGCCAAAGCTTGATGAGAGAATGAGAGTGTGAGAATGTCACTAGCCATCAGAATTTTAATTGTGAAAAGGCCTCAGATTTTTCATAGATTATTAAAAACTATTTATAAAATAAAAATGGTTCATAATTTTAAAGTGTTGCTAAAATCATATCCAAGTGTAAGAAAGAGTTTGCTCTGACTGAAATTCATAGTTCATTATAACTGAATTCAGCTGCAACTCTTGCAACAGCATAATTCCCTATCTGAAAAAAGTTAAATGTTCTGACAAATCTGGTGACCTAAAAATGACTTCATGTGGTAACAAGAAATTGGACTGATTTTATTCAACTCATAAATACTTGAATGAAATAACAGTTTGAGACTAGGAATGTTGAGAATTGTTCAAAAAGCGTCTTAAACACGTAATACAATCATGCTTAAAAAGAGCATCTAGGTCTAGATGGGTTGAGGCTCACTGCTTTGCCAAAAAATGCATCAACGAATACCAACAGCTTAAAAAACAATGTTGCTCAATGAGTGATTGAAAGGATTTTAGGCATTTAACTCTATGTTGAATAATAAAGTTCTGATCTGTCTCCCATTGCAAATGTATCTCACATTATGAAGCGAAAATACAGTAATGAAGCCTTGTATAAAAGGAAGAATGGTAAAAATTCCACTTTCAAAACTGGATCGGTTTGTGTCTTCAGTCCCCAAATGTTTATTAAGCCTCATTAAAAAGAAAAGTGATGTAACTCAGCGGTAAACATGCAGTAAATATAGATTGAACTGAATTTACTAAATTACTGCTTTCTATTTTTATTAAAATGTTACATACTCTCCCAACTTTTTTGGAACAGAGTTTTGTGTAAGCGTCATTCTATACCAACTCACCTAGCCCTCCCACTTCATATCATGAATTATCTTAAAAAAAAAAAAAACCCATGTGAAAACATCTGTGTGAAAATTCGTGAAGACCTTACAAAATCCCACAGCTCTACTTAAAGTACTTTTTTTAGCTATGAATTTTTGAAGTTTGGCCCATTTCATCATTGTGATTCTTTTAATGTGCAATTTAAGCGTCATCAACTGCTTATTTTTCACTGCATTGGGTTGAAATTTGTACTGAAAATCCAAGAGACCTTAATGATAATTTGCAAAATATATCCATGTAATACAGTTGTTGCTGAATGTTTGCTGAATGTTTCACAGTAATCAAATCATGAAATTTTTTTTTAGCCAAATGAAGAACCTTTAATTTTCAAAAATAAATCTCCACTAGGTAGATATTTGTAATATGTTGACTTCAAGGTTTTCCATCTCTGGGTGTTAACTATTGAGAAAATCCACTTTAAGATATTTAGACTGTATATTTTCCCCCCAAGAAGGATAACTTGAATTCGTCTCAAACTTTTTATGGAACAGTGTTAATATTGATTACAGATATATAAAAATAGCTAGTTTTTCATACTTTCAATTGGCCGTATTGCATTCAGTGGTCTTATTTCATAAGTAGATACTTGTGCTCTGGGCCTGTGTTTCATTGGGCTCAGGAAGTCACAGCTTTGAAGCTTTGTTGCTTACTAGATGATGTCATCTTGCTGTGTGTGAACAATTTTAGTTACACACAGGAAAAGATGGTAAGGCATCTTCCCACAGTGGCCAAACCTCTTGCTGTGTAAAATTACCCATCTCTAACAACCTAGCACTATGACCATTAGACTGGTACTTAGCAACTTAACAGTAACAAACATCATGCATGGGAAAATTCTGTGGGGGTGGGGTGTTACAGTTAGAGCCGGGGGCATGGGGAGCATGGGGATCTGTAGCATAAATTCACATAAAAATACTATATCCATAATCCAATTTAGAAAAAAATTGATAGTAAAACTACAGATGAAGGAACCTGCCATGGTCTTGGAGCCTATATGGTAGTAGCTGTATTTTTAAACACAATGCACAGGAAGCAGCGTGAGTACAGAGGAGACTGCTCACTACTGTAAGATTCACACAGCTCTCCTTTAGCAATATTAAATAGGATGCCATGCTATCACAAGTCATGACTCTCTAGTGAGCCAGAGGATTAAACAACCGGACTAAAGGACAGCTACAAACTTTAGCTGGTACCAGCCATAGCCAACTATCTTGCAAGACAAACTATGTCTATATCTCTCAGTGTAATTAATCGTATTTCAACAATGTATCACATGTTTGAAAAAAAAGGGCTGATGCTCTAAAACTTCAGCAGCACACCAACTGTTCAGCACTGATGTGCACAGAGTCTTAAAAAGTGGATTTTCAACTCTGAAGCTATATTTAGCAACATCTGTGGCACTCACATTTTAATGCAGGACTTCTAGATGTGATAGAACTATACTAAAACTACACAGAGTCAATATGTGGTTGCAAGAAAGAGACAATTAGTAAAAATATAAATGTTTAAAAATTAAAGATTTCTTTCCAGTAAATATTAATTTTTATGTGATTACTGTGAAACATTCAGCAACAACTACTGATGTGAATACCTGTTGCAAATCTTTTGGGTGTCATGGACGTTCACTACAAATTTTATCAATTAATAAGCAATTGTTGAGGCTTAGAGTACACATACAGTGCCTCCAAGTAGTATTCAACCCCCTGCAGATTTTGCAGGTTTACACACTGCACCACTGAGGAGCACAGGTGACTATTGGCAAAACACCTCAAGGAAGGGGGAAAAGAAAAAGCGGGAAAAGCAGCGTACTCAAACAAAGGCTGAACACTTCCACTCCAAGAACGAAGGGAAGGCAGACTTTGTTTCAGTTGGAGCAAACAGCTTTTCTATTTTCGCTGAGCCGATTGTAGCTCAAGAACTTTTTTTTTTTTTCCCCCTTTAAGTAGCTTTGGGACAGTTTCTTTTCTCAGCCCTCTTTTCTTTTTAGTTTTGGGGCAGGCAGGCAGGCAGGCAGTCTTTCTTTCTTTCTTTCTTTCTTTCTTTCTTTCTTTCTTTCTTTCTTTCTTTCTTTCTTTTCTTTTCATTTCTTTTCTTTTCTTTTCTTACACTAAGTACCATACCGGTCAGCCCTCTAAAGGCGTGACAAACACCACTGTTTGCCTTGACCTTAAATAGAGGAGTCCGCAGGTGTGTCTCGTTGGGCCTAAACAGCCCGCGGACTTTTGGGAATTGGAGTTCCCTGAAGTTATGGCCCTGTGCCGCCGTCGCCCTCTGCTGGCAGCTGGCGGTGCAGGCTGGACACCCTGCCTCCGTCGCCCTCTGCTGGCAGCAGGCGGCCCAGGCTGGACACCCTGCCGCCGTCGCCCTCTGCTGACAGCAGGCGGGGCCAGCTGAACCCTTACATAGTCAACATGGGAAAGACTAAGGAGCATTCCAAGGAGCCATCAGAGACAAAATCATGGAGGGTCACAAGGCTAGCAAGGGATACAAAACCCTTTCCAAGGAGTTGGGCCTACCTGTCTCCACCGTTGGGAGCATCAACCGGAAGTGGAAGGTTTATGGAACTACTGTTAACCTTCCACGGCCTGGACAGCCTTTCAAAGATTCCTCCCGTGCCGAGGCCAGGCTTGTCCGAACGGTCAAGGCTGACCCAAGGACAACAAGGAAGGAGCTGCGGGAAGATCTCATGGTGGTGGGGACATTGGTTTCAATAAATACCATAAGTAACGTACTCCACCGCAATGGTCTCCATTCCAGGCGAGCCCATACGGTACCTTTACTTTCAAAGCATCATGTCAAGGCCCGTCTAAAGTTTGCTCATGATTACTTGGAGGACTCTGAGGCGGACTGGTTCAAGGTTCTCTGGTGTGATGAGACCAAGGTCGAGGTCTTTGGTGCCAACCACACCTGGGGCGTTTGGCGAGAGGATGGCACTGCATACGACCCCAAGAATACCATCCCTACAGTCAAGCATGATGGTGGCAGCATCATGCTGTGGGGCTGCTTCTCAGCCAAGGGGCCTGGCCATCTGGTCCGCATCCACGGGAAGATAGATAGCACCGCCTACCTGAAGATTTTGGCCAAAAACCTCCGCTCCTCCTTCAAGGATCTTAAGATGGGTCGTCATTTCATCTTCCAACAGGACAACGACCCCAAGCACACGGCCAAGAAAACCAAGGCCTGATTTAAGAGGGAAAAGATCAAGGTGTTGCAGTCTCCTGACCTTAACCCAAATGAAAACTTGTGGAAGGAGCTCAAGATCAAAGTCCACAAGAGATGCTGAAAGAACCTAGACAACTTGGAGAAGATCTGCATGGAGGAGTGGGCCAAGATTACTCCTGAGACCTGTGCCGGCCTGATCAGGTCTTATAAAAAATGATTAATAGCTATAATTGCAATCAAGGGTTATTCCACCTAAACCTAGGGGTTGAATAATAATTGATCCTAATTATGTTTAAAATGTATTACAATTTAATTGAGCAACTTATATTTTTTGTTTGTAATATTTAGGCATCTGTTAATAAATGCTACTCTTGTTCAAAGTTTGAAAGCTCTAACTTATTTGCAACCTGTTGAATTTGCAAAATCTGCAGGGGAATACTACTTGTGCGCATATAAAGATTTGCAAAAATTATGAATTGGGGCAAAATAAAAAATTCTAAAACTAATATTAAAAAAAAGTACTTGGAGTAGAGCTATAGGATTTTTCAAAGTTCCATGAATTTAATGGTAGTTTTCACAAGAGTTTTTTCAAGAAAATCCATGACATGAACTGGAAGGGTTAGATGAGTTGGTATGAAATGACACAAAATGATCAATTTTTTGACCATTTTCTATAAAATCTTGTTACTCAGTATAAAACCACACTTCCATTGTGAAACATGCCCCAATCTCACTACAAAAAAAAAAAAAACACTGAACTCTGAATGGTTCATAAACACTAAACACAACTCAGCACACAGGACAGGTGTTGAGGATTAAAAGTCACGTTTGAATGAGGGTCTTT